AAGATTGCAGAGGTAATGGTGAGCGAAGAACCACTTTTTCATTCAGTGCTCACTTCACTCTTTCCCTGAAAATTCCCTATACTTCGAGATGTTGCAATGACACTGAGCGAGTGGCACTTACAACACCACTCCAGTTGCCGACTCCAGAACTTATGACCCCCTCCCCACCTCCCACCAAGGCTAATACGCTAACCGCTACCCAGGATCTCCGCAACCTTTCCCCACTCTGCAGAGGATTCAGTCGTCTAGTATAGAGAATTAAACAGAAAATTCAATCCATCTCTAAGATTTCAACAAGTGAAATGCACACTGAAGAGATAAGTGAGCAAATCTGATAACAAACCTGGACTATTTCTCGCTGCCACTGATCCTGTGAGCTTGCTCTTTGCTGGAGTGAACGCTGCTGCTCGTCGAACCGCATTTGCATCGATTTCCGAAGCCGAACGACCAGCAAAAAAGTTCGTGGCTGAATAGTTAAAGGTAATGGAATCCCCTCTCCTCCTTGGAACGCGGTGACTGACTTTTCGGTCGATTCATTCCGAACGCGCCCGGTCTTTGGCTCATGTGCAGTGAATCACGCTCGCTGTTGATAGATTGTGATGACGAAGCTGCTGACATCACACCAGATAAAGCACGCTGCTTTGACGGATCCAGACTCTGGAAGTATCTCTTAGAAAGAGAACGAGAAAATGAGTAAAATGACTGCTAACCTGGTACAGAAGCTGTGCTTGCTGTGGATAGTGCTGATCCAACAACTGATAGGCATTCCTCGCTGAAGTTCGCGCTTGTAGATCCGCATCCATAATACCCGCCTAAGCAATACAAATATGTCGATCGTAGCTGAGCAAACTCAAAATTTCATCTCTCACTGTAAATGACTAATTCGCCTGTACAAGCGTTCCATTGAGAGTGGGATTGTGAAACCCACTACACTATTCACAAAAATCCATATTTTGGGATGTTCGCAAAGCGCTGTACCTAGCAATATCGCTGAATGCTACACACAATCAGCGTAAATGATAGCAAGCAGAAATACTGGACTACTCTTGAAATTGATTTTGCGTGCCTAAAAAGTTCAATCGGACTGTGATGAAGAGGTCAAGTCGCCAATTCATTGCTCGATAGTATTGCTGTTGCTCGATAGTAGGCCCAGAGAAGAGCTCTCCGAAGCAATTTACGGCAAAAAATGCCACTCACAATCAGTTCTGAGCGTGGTACTTTCCATTCAAAAAGTGGAGAGAATCAAAGGAAAAAATGCTCACCTTAATACAATCCACAATTCCACTAATAGACTTGTCCAACTTGGACGGTGTCCAAACGGAAATGATTTGTGATAATAAGATCTTGCACGGCTCTAAAAACTTTTGTAATCACCATATGTACACCAACAAAGGAAAAAAAATAAAAGGAAGTAAAATGCAGGCTGAACTAACTTTCGTATTTCTTTGGATTTTGAGGAGGCAAATGAGAGTACAATAGGTATGAGTTTCGGATGTTCCACGAACTAGAAAAAAATCTCTATGGAAAGTCTTAGGTAAAATAGATAGAAATACGCATAAATCACTGGAACTTATCAGACAGAACTTGTGGTAAAGTAGATGGAGGGCTACCACCAACAGTACTTAGCTATGCAAGAAGTGCTCACCTTAACAATGAAGTAACAAGCATTAACTCCAGAGGACGACATAATCTTAGCACTATTCTGAATCAGAGAGATCGTTGCAGGTAGGAGCGATTCGCACAACCGTACAATTGATGTTTCCAGCTTTTCACAAAGGAAACTAAACATATCAGATCAAACTAACTGCATAAAACCGCACCACTTAATTTTAGTCTCTGACTACTAATGGCCCACAACATGTGTATCATCAAATGTACCATATATGTGCCACCAGCAGTTCGAGAGGTAATGTGACCAATCATTACAACTACGTAGCAATACCAAAACATCATGGTGTTGCAAAAGAAAGCAAAGTAAATCATTATCATACATGAAAAAGGTGTAAAAAGAGACCTCACCTGACAGTTATGCATGCCTCTCGACATACTTGCGACCGGAGGTCCTTGATCGATGTTATAAGAGCATCTTCCAGTGAATGAAGACCATTTAGCAACTCGTTCTCATAATCCATACCGCCATTTATTAAAATGGATCGTAGCAGTTTGAGCTAACAAAAACAGTAGATTCAAACATGCTTTTAAGAGAAAAAAAAAGCGACACTGTGAAAGGCCTAGCCACTTACAGAATTAACTCGCTGAGACCAATCTATTTGGGCATTTTCGAGAGTTGAGCGAATAGATTCCAACTGTGAATTCAGTTCTTTAGCGGAATAAATCTGAAAAAAAAAGTTTCATAAATCAAGCAGAATAAGGAGGACCATTCTGCAAAGGCTTATGCCACTCACATCACATTTTGGAACCTGAGCGAAGGCTTTCCTGAAATCATCTTCGTTGACTGCACCAACACCGCTCGCTGAAAGGAGAAGTAAATGCTAGATTCATGACAAACATTGCTAACCGTTTTAAAACCTTACGGTAAAGTCACTTGCATGTGAGATGTGAATTGTGAATTTAAACATTCTTGCGATACGGTTTAAGCAACCCACTCGGACTCCCTGGTGTTCCCCCTCCGCACCCAAACCATAGAATTACCGAAAACAGTTGGATTCCGAACGAAAGTAACTTTAGCAAAGAAAAGTGTAGAGGTAATTTTTTACCGCATCACTACATCAACCATATTTGCAGTCTTTTTAAAGGATTGGGTAGGGTGCATGGCCTCGTAGAACTTAGGAGTTGATCAACCTCAATTTTTCACTTCCGCCCATCCGAAGAAAAAAAACCTTTAGAGTTTTCCAATGCCAAATTTTCTAACCAACTCTGATAAAAGAAAGAGGCAGCAAAACATTATTTAACATTACAGAACATATTAGTTTCCCCGCATCATTATCTTGTGGATGCGGAGACCTGATGTAGAAACTGAAAACTTAATGGTAAGGTTTGAAATGAACTATTCACTAACACGGGCCCAATTATTTTCTACGAAAACATTTGCTTTACAATGGCGGAAACAGTACTTTCACTTGCTCAACTAATCATTCACTACATTCATCTCAAAAAAAAATGTATATGTATTGCGCTTTTAAGTAATCGATAACTTCACGACTCCTCTGAAAAAATGCGTATTCATAGAGGACAAGTGTAAACCTTTCAAAAAAATGTGAGGGCACCACCAATCCAACAATTTAAGAATCAAGAAAGCACTATGAAATTCGAAAAATATGAGCCACGATGCTGGGTAAAAAACCAGGAAACAGTAAAACGGGAAAACGGATAAGTATTATATATGTTGGCTTACAAGTTTGTTTTCTCTTTACAGCCGTCGGTATGCGCTTCTGCGCTGGCATGCTTGACCCACGACTCAATCCCGGAGTGGACCGGACCTGGTTTTCCTGGTCGGTGTCACCTGAAAATCATCAAACATTGACTAGAAGTGCATCACGTGCTCTGATAAGGCACCAGTTTGAGCTGGAGAAGTATCAATCAACCAAAAATATGACGAGGAATTGTATCAGTATTTCCAAGTAAGATTGAAAGACTACTCTATCGTCATTAAATTACTGTTTAAATAGAACAATATATAAATGTTTGGTCAATGGCTCCTTCGTAGTGGTCTCGTCAAATTATGTTGACCGTAAAAAGGATGACATATAGTGCGTAAAAAAATAGCAAAACAGATCAACACAACAAAAATTTCGGAATAAGAATGCAATCAAGTTTTAGTGGAACCGTTGGATATTTTGAAATAATAGATCGAAACAGCTTTTGTAAACAGTTAGATATACAGAGGCAGCATTTTGCATGAAGATGTAAGCTATTCGAAGGAAACAGTGTTTTTACTAGGGTAAAAGTTGTAGAAAGGAAGATGTGAACACAAAACGCAGAAAATACCGGATTTGATCGCAAGTTCGGATGTGAATATGCTGGTGGTTGGGAGGGAAAATGTCTTTGTCATTGATTGCTCGTCCCGACTACCATGCAAAAGGCAGTGCAGACAGCGAGAGATGCAGAGCGGCCATCGCCACACCAGCCACCTAGCCAGTCATCTAGCCAGACCCGATCGGGCATGACACCCACTCAAGTACAGTGCAAAGATTGGCCCTTCGCTTCTAGTTCAAATGAATACGTTTGCTCAGTGCTAGGACGGACTCACCGAAGTCAAGTCATTCAAGAAGGGTTTCTTTCGGCGACGCAAGAAAATGCAAACCTATTTTATTTTGAAGCTTTCTCCCCGACTTTAAACTTTTATTCATAATGGCTACATTTTAGTAAGGACAAAGGTACGACAGATTCATTGAATCTAAACAATATCATCCATTCAATTTTGAGATCTCACATAAGACCGGTCGAGTAATCACAAACACTGCTTCCGGTGGTGTGAAATGGAGCTATCCCACCACACCTACGTTGTGCCATTTGAGAACAAATGCCACTTTGTTAATTTGCAGAGGCTAGTTCTCTCTTTGTATCGTAGGTGCTCCACAAAGTGCTTCTCCAATGTTTCTTCAACACATTAACGTCTGCCGCTGTATATATCTCGGCATTTTTTGTTAATTTTTTCATTATTCTTAAACTCTTCAACAATTTTTTTTTCGTAAGCACATCGCTTTCCGAATCCGATATACAGAAAAAAAGCATTGAAACATGATAAATTCAAGATATGGAAAATTGAGTCCATTCCATGTGAAAACTTGACGCGCATCCATCCGCCGTCATCAATGTGTGAAGGATTATCCAAAGTTTGTTGGGGTGTGGTTCAGTAGGACAAAAAGCGACTTTTTCGCGTTTCGCAGCGCGAAACATTTTTCGCTGCGGGAACCTCAGGACCTGAAGTTCCCGCGGCGAAAATTTCCGCGCTGCGAAAGCGAAAAAGTCGCTTTCTGTCCTAGTGAACAACACCAAAAAATATGTTGAATGACAAGATTAGTTCAACGTAAGGAATTTGGTTTGAATAAAATAGAAGTTGCGATTTTCTAGACAACAGCGGAACGAAACAAAGGCCTATACAATTTCTTCCACTTCACTATTTCTGCTTCTTGTACTTTAGTAAGAAGACAGCAAGAACCAAAAGGCAGAAGTAGGTAATTTTGGAGGCCTGAAGAGACAGCCGACACTATGATTCTCATGAGGGAGTCTCCATCCTTCAGCATAATGTAGGAAAACCATTTCGACTGGAAATTTCTAGTGTTATGAAGGGGAAATTGTAAACCACAAAGCTAGAACGAGGTTTACGGCAATCTTAAGCAATGGAGGAAACAATCTAAAGGCATTCACGCTCGTTTCAAACCTGATCACTGAGTCGGCTAGACAAAGCAATCACAGTTCTTGTTTTAAACGTCTTTAAATGCCTACAGTGATGGCTCATAAAACCATCGTGTGCAGACAACGAATAGGGCTCCAAACGTAATAGCCCTTGGACAGATCACCTAATGCTTGCTACCCATCAACTCATGATTTCTGTGGAAGCAAAAACAATAGCCCATAATGTCAAGCTCTTATCAACAATTGTACGATTGAAATCTCCGAGGCTTCAACAGAGAACTAGCGAATTCAAATTCCCAAGCGAATTGTCATAGATTTTATCTTCATGTTACTTCTGTTTTCTAGACTCTTGCAACAAATAGGGGTTTAAAAATAACAAACAGAGAAGACCGCAGACGTTCCTACGTGGAGATTACAAAAGAAAGCCTGGAAAACCTGTTCTAACGCTGACGAAACCGAGCGAAAGAGTTTTAAGAAAATTGAAAGCATCTCAAAAAGTGAACTACACTTCGTCAAAGGTAAAGCGTAGCTCTGGCTCTTGTTTCAAAAAAGACAGAATGTTCCGAACTTATTGGGTGATTAAGTGATAGGAATTTGCCGCCCAATGCTTTCTATGTAGTTTGGAACGCTGGCAGCCAGCAGAGTCAAAGAGATACTCCACAAACACCGGTGACACTTGAGCGCAACACTTCGACAGCTAGTCGATTTCTTACTCCCAAGAGGAAGGGAACTTTGACTTGAAAAATTCGTCGAGTGTCTCACTGACCTCATCACCAAAAACTTCTTTCGGCGGTAAGCTAATAGTGGCTGAGGAGGCGGTAATCGGCGCAAGCGAGCCAGGGCCCGTTACGGTGAATGAGCAACACCAGCCTGCCGTATTGCTTCCAGCTCAGCCGGGAGTCAGAAACGGTCGGGGCTAGCTGGTGATCTGAGCACTTAAACCCTAAGCAACACGTCGCAACTGCTGTAGGCAAAACTGGTCATAGTATATACCAGATTTGAAGATATTTAGCGAAATAGTTACAAAGTGTGGGAGCGATCTTTTCTACGCTGGGTTCTTTACCACCCTCACACGTTCCTCTGTCAGGTCGTTCTTCATATTGAAGAGAACACTCTGGAAAATACTCGTGAAATGATTTCTGCGAGCAACTTCTGGTAGGAAATTTTATCTAGATAGAAAGGAAAACAGGGTGTTATGCAAAAAGATCACTCGAATAGTACTGGAAAAAAATCGCGTAATTTCTAGTGGAGAAGGCTATGCCTCGTCACTTAGCTCGTCAGCTTCACCGTTATTTTGTCTATTGTCTGGTGCATGTCCCAATAAAAATTCCCCTATGCAGAGTACCACTGCCGTATAGCAGCAACAGGAATACTTTCCAGAACACAAATAAGATTTTGAGAAACGAAATAATCGCAAGCAGTTCACGATCACATTCGCTACTATAAAGAGGCGATTTTACATATTGTTACTTTCTCATTTGAAAGCGCTACACTCAGGCTTTCCGGCTTCGGGGTGCTATTGCCTCATACTCAGCATCTCGAAGTGACTGAAATAAAAAATTCTACCACCTGAACTCAGATTTTTCATACAGGTTTCCACGAGAAACGTTCGCTGTTCCCACCGTGCACGCTGCGAATGAGCTGGGCAAAGCAAGCAGTTCACAAAATCAATGTAAACAGATAAATGACTGGAGAAAGGGCAGATGATGAACGATTGTATGAGTAATGGAATATGGAACAATTTAGTAAGGCGCTTACGAAACTCTTGAAACTACCGAAAAAAATTGCCCTAACCTTAATTCGTTCCTAAGACTAGTTGCGTGAGTATTGAGAACATTGCGAAAGACAGCACGAAACAATCTACATTATGTAAGAGGATTACCAGGTGGAGACGACATCGGCGATAACTCGTGACCAATTTATCACGGCAAGCAAATTCAACCGAACATATTCCATTTTAGTACCCACAACAACTCGCCCGTTAATATCTTAGTCTCCAATAAATGTTCTTCCAATTTCTTTCGCAAGAACAATCCTTGCTTATTTTGAGCATTTGTAGAGGAGGAATAAGTTTTTTTTTCATAAATTGGACATTGTTGAAGTTGATGCAATTCTGTTTACAATTATCGGGCAGTTTATTCTATAAGATGTACAGCGCTTGGGAACAAACAAGGGGAAAACGGTTGGCACCAGCCGGACTCCGCACTTTTGCAGTGAAAGAAAAGGACGAGACGAAAAATCGATACCAACCCAGAATCGCATCGCAAAAATACTAGATAAGAGAAGTGCTGCCTTTAAAATGCGAGCAGTAATAAATAAAACCAAATCTATTACGATGGATTGACATTACGCAAAATAGGTATGGTCATAGCGGTAAATTTTGTAAAAAATAATCTTTGGCTACCGAATCGAGTTGAAATGATGAAAACCTCAACAAAAACTGACCACTTTCTCCCGGTGTTTGCGGTACACGGAACATGGAAAGCTGAAGGACAGACAATTAAAGACGAAAATAAGGAAAATAAAAACTACTTATAACTGCGGTCATTATCACAACGACTGACGAAAATTAACAACAGAAAAAAATTGGAAAAGAAGACGATGTGGATCTGAAAGTGAGAAGCAGAGAAACCATGGCCATTCATTTTTCCAGCTCTGGATAGAAACGCAAACGCAAAGAAAGACGACACATTGAACCACTTGAATAAAGCAGGATATGCCGGACCAGAAGTCCTAAGCAGGGCAAGAAGGGTCGAGGACGAATCACGAAAAACGCCGAAACGCTAGTCAAATAAAATATTATATTAGGTTGAGCAATCATTCTCCGCCGTTTTCATTTCACTCTTAAGTTTATTAACAAAACCAAAAACAACAGTAAATGCGTAATCAACAAACGCTCTCGGACAGCCCTCTGCTAGTGCATTCATCCCAGGCTTCATTGATTGGTGTAACTCACAGAGTTTGTGAAGCAAATAGTACCAATTTGAACATGAAAATGTACAAGTGATTGTTTCCCTTTTCAGACAATTAAATCATCTTCGAAAATAATCAGAAGAAAATTCAAAAGAGCATGAGCCTGCCAGAAACAAAGGGTAAGTTTGCTCAACTATTATTTTAGTTAAAAATGATTGAGGGCAAGACCTTTTAGTCATGGGGAATAGATGAATGTTAACTTTCCAAAAGTTGATAAGGTTTGAAAAATGCTCAAAAAAAAGCCTGAAGGAGCGACATCTTGGAAGCTGGATAGAAATGGCTGTCGCCAGAGCAAATTATAAGGGATCCCCAATGGATTAAAATAGATTTTTTCTGTGTGTTTCCAGTTCGATAATCTCGACGAACAATTTGAAAACGTCACCGTACCGGAAAGTGTGATGTTCGAGGTGAAAAGGAATCAAAATAGTGCGGTGATTGCGAATCGGCGTTTTTCGCGCGTTTTTTCGTCGTGCGACCCGGCGATCGCGATTGGAGCAGGCAGTAGTGCGTTTAAATCGACAAGCGACCTTGAGCCTCAAAAGAACGAAGGAACGCCTGTTCCGTGCAGCCAGCCGCCATGCAGTCGATGCATCGTCCAGCCTTATTGTGTTCCCAAGGCGAGACAAAACCATCCCGGTTGCACCAGTCAGCGAGATATCGCCATGGCCACCGGTACTGCCGGGTCGTTTTTCGAAACGCAGTTTTGACATCAGCAGGATTCGACCAAATGTTTCAAACCAGTTTTTACCTGCACAGTGGTCATGACGAGCTTGTAACGAAATGCTGTGAAGTGGAGAGGGTTGAGGCTTTCAGTGGAACCGGGGTCCAGCAGCCAGTTGCACGAGGTATGATCGCACGCGCACGAAATCAAACTCGCAAGCAAGGCAAAAAGGATGTTGGTTTTGAGCGAATTTTTGAGGTCAGGTGAAATGTTGAACAAAAAAATCGGAGATTCGTTAATGCAGTTCCAGTACACGTGGCCGAATGAGTATCTGCGGTCAGAAATCGTTGTCACATCAACAATCGCTTTTCATCAGTGGACTGGGTGTTTATTTAAGGCGGACATTATGTTAGGAATTTAAAGAAGGGATGTGGTGCTAAAATAGCTTGATATGTTACCGGAAGTGTCAAAGCAAGCTGTTGGGATGGTAAAGGCTCGCTAGTTTTCTTATGGGGTACGG